AACGATCCATGGAATGTCAACAATTTACTAGCAACCTACATTTCTGGAATCCTCCCAGCCAGGGGTCAAAGATAGGTACATAGATATAAGGGCACAGGGCTTCCAGGAAAGCCCCTTTGGGTGAACTGACTCTGCTGGGAGAGCAGCCTTTTGCTGTCCCCCTTTGGATGTCAATCAGGCTTGATGTCTGGAGCTCTGGTATCAATAATGGACCATGAAATGAACTTAAGGATGGAAACCACTGGTTTAGTGTAGAGAAGCAGAAAAACAGAAGCTGGGTGCCTCAGACCAAATGTGGACTATCGTCCAACTTCTTTTACCTGAGAGAACTACCACCCACCTTCATGTTATTTGGACTTTCTGCTATATACACCTGTACTTAATTGTAATTTACACTTACACTTTCCTTGGTCAGCTTAGAATGGTACGTTCTTTCAACAAACGGGTATTGGACACCTACTATGGTGTGCCAGTCACTGTATTAAACACCTACTAGGGTGTGCCAGTCACTGTTTTGAGGGCTGGACATGCAAGGAAAAAGATAGTCCCTTAAAGAATTAAGCCTGGCTGAAGAGACAGATAATCAAGAACAGTACAGTGGTATCGGTGCCAGAATCAGGAGCCAGGCGAGATGTACAGCAGGACAGACTTGACTTCCAGGATGCAACCAAGTTGAATACTGAAGAGGCTATTAAGTGAGAAGGAAGGGTATTTCAGGGAAAGGAGTATGGCACTGAAATGATCCAAGACAGCAGTTTCACAAGGAAATGAATTGTTTCGACCTGTACCCAGAGAATGTTTAACTTCTGGCTGCAGGAGTCAGGTCTTTCATTCCACCCCCTCATCCTCTAAGATCTAAGATAGTGGTGAGAAGTCCTGGTACATAGTACTGCTAGGTAATATCTGTTGAATCAATGTTGACACTAAGAACTGCCTAATAGATGTTAAGGATTCAGAGGATCAAGACTCACAAGGTCTAAGTGGGGAGAGGTGGTCTCCCTCTTTGTCCTCCTGTCCTTTCCTCATAGCTGACCTAAAATGAAGAAGAATGAAATATTATAGTTGAGATGGGAGGGCTGGGTAGCCCATCTCCGATCAGCCCTATCTGTCCTGTTTCAATCCTCCTGCGGGCTAGGCGGAGGAGAGAGGTGTTAGTAGAAGGGGTGATTTGCAGCAGACCCAGCTGGGGCAGGAGTTCACATGAAAGGTATGTAGCCTGGGCCTGCCTCTATGGTATGCATGATAACACCCAAAATTAACCCGAACCCTCTACTTTCTGAACATGTAAATAAAGATTTACAGTTCACATTTATAAAATTTAAAATGCTTCAGAGGGCAGTTGTGAAATCCAATGCTAATTGTCTCAATTTAATTATACGCCTACCTTGAAGCTATTATAGGTTTGGTTCCAGATCACTGTAATAAAGCAGTAGTACAATACAGTGAGTCACACAAATATTTGTTTTTTCTAAGGCACATAAAAGTTATGTTTATACTGCACTATCTAGTTTTTCAAATGTGCAAAGGCATTCTATCCAAAAATATGCTGACTCTACTTTAATTTAAAAATACTTTACGGTAGTTGAAGTGGGAGGATTGCTGAAGGCCAGGAATTTGAAACCAGCCTGGCAATCCCAGCAAGACCCTGTCTTTACAAAAAGTAAAAAAGTTAGCCAGGAGGGGTGGTACATGCCTGTAGTCCCAGCTACTTGGGAAAATGAGGCAGGAAGATCACTGGAGCCCAGGAGTTCAAGGTTGCGGTGGGCAATGATTAGGCCACTGTACTTCCAGCTTGGGTGGCAGAGCTCAAGACCCTATCTCAAAAACAAACAACAAAAAAACCACCCCAAATGTTATGGTTAAAAAATGCTCATGATCATCTGAGCCTTTAGGAAGTCTATCTCTCCTCTGGTAGAGGGTCGTGCCTCAATGCTCACAGCTGCTGACTGGTCGTGGTGATTACCAAAGGTTGGGGATAACTGTGGCAATTTCTTAAAATAAGACAATAAACTTTGCTGCATTGATTAACTCTTCCATTCATGAAAAATTTATCTGTAACATGCAATGCTGTTGACAGCATTTTGCCCATAACAAAACTATCAAAACTGGACTCAATCCTCTCAAATCTGCCACTGTCTTATCAACTAAATTTGTATAATATTCTAGACCAGGTGTGGTGGCTCACACCTGTAATCTTAGCACTCTGGGAGGCCAAGTAGGGTAGATTGCTTGAGCTCAGGTGTTCAAGACCAGCCTGAACAAAAGCAGGACCCCATATCTACTAAAAACAGAAAAACTAGCTGGGCATTATGGGGGGTGCTTGTACTCTGAGCTACCCAGGAGGCTGAGGTAAGAGGATCATTTGAGCCCAAGAGTTTGAGGTTGCTGTGAGTTATGATGCCAGGGCACCCTACTGAGGGTGACAAAAGCGAGACTCTGTCTCAACAAAACAAAAAATGCTCACAGCATCTTTATCAGCAGATTCTACCTCAAGAAACTACTTTCTTTGCTCATCCATAAGAAACAACTCATCTGTTCAAGTTTTACTATGAGATGGCAGCAATTCGGTCACATTTCATGCAGCACCTCTAAGTCCGTTTCTCTTGCTATTTCTACCACACCTATATTACTTCCTCCACTGAAGTTTTGAACCCCTCATTCATTAGGGCTGGGATTAACTTCTCCCCAATTCCTGTTAATGTTGATATTTTGACCTCCTCCCATGAATCATGAATGTTCTTAATGGCATCTAGAATGGCGAATCCTTTTTAGGTTTTCAATTTACTTTGCCCAGACCCATCAGAGGAATCATTATCTAAGGCAAACAAGACCTCACAAAATGTTACTTAAATAGTAAGACTTAAAAGTCAAAATTACTCCTAGATCCATGGGCTAGCAGGCATGAAAACACAGTATCCTTGTACTTTTCCATCAGAGCTCTTGAGTCACCAGGTATTGTCAAAGAGCAGAAAAAATTGGAAAGGAATCCTTTTTCTGGAGATCTTAACCCTAGGCTAAACCTACTCAATAAACCACGGTGTAAACGGGTGTGCTGTCATCCAAGCATTTATAGAGTAGATTTGGCATAATTTTTAAGGACTCTAGGATTTTTTGAATGGTAAATGAGCCTAGCCTTCATTCTATAGTCACCAGCTATATAAGCCCCTGGCCTAACAAGAGACTTGGTCTGTCTGTCTTCTCTCTAGCCATAAAAGTCTCAGGTGAGTTCTTCCAACAGAAGGCTGTTTCCTTTAGTGACAATCTGTTAGTGTAGCCACCTTCCTCAATGGCCTTAGCTACTCTATATTCTGGATCCTTGCCTACATCAGCACTTGCTGCTGCACCTTGTACTTTCATGTTACGAAGAAAGCTTCTTCCTTAAACCTATGAATCAACCTCTTCTAACTTCCAGTGTTTCTTCTGCAGCTTCATCGCCTCTCTCAAGCCTTTATAGAATTAAAGAGAGGGCTTTGCTCAGGATTAGGCTTTGGCTTATGGGAATGTTGGGGCTAGTTTGCTCTATCCAGACCATTCAAACTTTTTCCATGTCAGCAATAAGGCTGTTTTGCTTTTTTATTTTTTATGTTCAATGAAGTAGCACTTACAGTTTCTTTCAAGAACTTTTCTTTTACATTCATGACTTGGCGGACTGGTCCAGGAGACCTAGTTTTCTGCCTATCTCAGCTTTTCACTTGTCTTACTCACTAATCGTTTCTAGCTTTTGAATCAAAGCGAGAGTTGTGAGACTCTTCCTTTCTCTTGAATACTCAGACTCCACTGTAGGTGATTAAGTGGCCTAATTTCAATACTGTTGTGTCTCAGGAAATAGGAAGGCCTGAAGAGAAGGAAAGAAATGGAGGAATGGCTAGTGGACAGAACAATCAGAGCACACACTACATTTATTAAGTTCACGGGCACAGTTTGTGGTGCCCCCAAAATAATGGCAATAGCCACATCAAAGATCACCGATTACACGTCACCATGACAGATATAATGACGTAAAGTCTGAAGTATTTTGAGAATTATCCAAACATGACAGAGATAGAAGTGAGCACGTGCCAATGGGAAAACAGCACCAACAGACCTGCTTGTTGCAGGGTTGCTAAAAACCTTCAATTTGTATAAGACCCCAAATCTGCAAAGCACAGTAAGACAAAATGCAATACAATGAGGTATGGCGATACTTACACACTTGGTCTATTAAATCTCTAGGCTCAGTGACAAGGAAGGGCAACAACGGGAGGCTCTTAAATCCTCATTTCCTTAGAAGCACACTAACAAAAAAATCATGACTTGAAGAGAAACTAACCCTACTGATAGTCACGTGCAATGAATTAGGCTTTTTCCCCTTCATATTATCTCCTTTAATTATATTAAGTTATATAATATAGAGAGTTATATTAAGAAAATATGGTTAACTGTCTTGCTTAAGGTCATATAGCTTGTAAGGACTCAGTGTTATCAACAGTCAAAGATAAACAGGATTCAATCCAAATGCTGTATATTTTCCAAATATCTGCTCTTTCCACTCAAACTCTGAATTGTATACTGACAAAACTCAGCATCAGCACCAAAACATTAAACAGAATTAAACAGGAAAGTGCCCAATGACTCCAATTTAATTATTCGGAAAGATAAGCTCTCAAGCACTCAATAACCAATTATTTAGTCAGCCAATAAGAGTAATAAGACATATAGATCTGTTAATAAAGTATTCTATTCTTCACATAGTGTTGTAACAGCAACTTTCTATAAGAGGTTGCTTTCAGTTTAGAAAATTAAGTAATTAAAAATCCAAAATTAGTTAGGAGGGCTGGAATCTCCCATCTTTTTTTAGGCTACCAAAAATTCCAATAAACCCAACAACAGAACAGAATCATTAACTCAAGAGGAATGTATCTTATTCCAGTTTCCTCTAGGGCAGTTCAGTAGTTAGTTTCACCCCAATGAATACTGACTACAGGAAAGAAAGAAACAAACAAAAAAAAGATTTTTTTCAACCACATTTACTAGCTCACATAAATATCTGAAAACAAATCCATCTGCCTTCCCTTTTTGTCTCCTTGGCACAATTTATCATTCCTAACAAACAAACTACCATAAATATCCATATGGGAAAAATGAATTTTAAAACATTAAAGAGAGGTTAATAAATAGCCATACATACCAACCACTGTAAGGACTACCAATTTTCTTTAAGATTAAGCCACTGATTTACAATGTTTATTAAAATAAATTTCACCTATAAAAACAAGGTTAATTTATAACTTGATCTCAACTTGTTTTTTTGTAATAGTAGTTTAATTTTTACATTAAAAATTATAAAACTTCAACTTAAGAACAAATAAAACACTCAGACACAAGTTTATACTTTTTGAATTCTCTCAACTTCAACAGAGAATGACTGAGTATCAATTTATGTTAGTCCTGTGGTCCACAATACATTTTCCATTTAAAGCATTAATTGTTCTTCTGTACGGCATGAGTAGCTTCTAGTGGGAATTAGTATATAGTCTGTTCTTGATGAAGACAACATTAGACAGATGTTGCCTGATGCCTGGGTAATGCTGAATGTGACAGAACCAGCGAGATACATTAAGATATTTCTCCTTTTCTTGAACTGTCAGGTCAACCTAAGTAGAGATTAAAAACATACACACACAACACAGACATTACATAAGCACAGCAATTAATATCACTTAAGTAGAAGACTGAAATTAAATAAAACAAAAACAAAACCACCCAACAGTTCTCAAAAGCCAACATATTTAGATAGGAATGAAAATTTTGGACACTCGGAAAAACCACCGATTTGTTTAATGCTTTTGTGTTCAGTTCAAAACCAGTGTAGTTTCTAGGGAAATACCAAGTTTTCAACAAATGCAGAATTTACACTCACAAGAATTTGGAGTCCCAAAGAGTTTGTTTTTTACTTTCTTGGAAAGAAAGTCTAAGCTATGGTTCTTTCTGCTATATTTAGCAAACTTAAAAAAGGTAAAGATTGGCAGCTTACATAGTGAACAAGGGCATACCACGAGGACTCAAATATACAGTAGAATCTCCACAGTTGACCACTGCCCCACATTGACCATCGACTTAAGTTGACCTATTTTTTATAGGCTGGACATGCACCACATGTACCAATGGAAGTTCCTTATGCTGACCACTTCTGTATGCTGACTAGTGTGTTATATAGTCCCTTGGGTGGTCAACTTATAGAGAGGTTCTACTGTACATGTAGACCACTGCTGTCTTTCTACTTAACCCTAAAGACAAATCTTGCTTCAGAAGACAATCATCCACTTCAGTGATCATTGCTTAATACAAGAAGGAAGGGCTATTTCTTTTCTTTTCTTTTTGAGACAGAGTCTCACTATGTCATCCTCAGTAGAGTGCCAGGGCATCACAGCTCACAGCAACCTTTAACTCTTAGGCTTAAGCAATTCTCTTGCCTTCGCCTCCCAAGTAGCTGGGACTACAGTATCTGCCACAACACCCAGCTATTTTTTTTTTGTTGTAGTTGTCATTGTTGTTTAGCAAGCCTGGGCAGGTTCAGACCCTTTAGCCTCGGTTTATGTGGCTGGTGCCTTACCCACTTAGCTAGGGGTGCCACCCAGAAAGGACTATTTCTAAGGATACATGACATAAAGAGGCTGAGTAATAAATGCATGAGAACTACAGATCTTCTAAATTCAGTTTGTAATAAAGCTGACTCTTTTAGTGGATGTAGCATTCACATAATTTACTATGAAGTTTCAAGGATGCCTAGAGATTTGATTAGAGAGGCAATAAAAACTATAGGCGCTTATCATTTCACTGGGCTCAAATTCCCAAGTGGGTAACTCAAAGACTTTTCTTTGAGACAGATTTTGGAATTATTAACAGTTACCAGATAAAGAGGCCAGTAGGGCAGTAACATGGCCCCATGTGTGGGCAGTGTAATTCTTTCTCTGGTTCAGTAACATTTATTTTACAGATATTATAAGTCTCCATAACACTAACAGGAATATTTACACTAAGAAAAAGACTCCGTCACCCCACAAGTGGTTCAAACCCATAAACAGTCTGCTTGTTGGGTAGATGTCCTAAGCCTTCCAGAATTTAGCAAATACTTGCCCTGCGGGTAAATACTTCACTAAGTTTCCAGATCAATGAAAATCACTCTAGGAGCAACAATCATTATAGAATACAAAGGAATATTAATACAATTAAAAGGTAGACAGAATCTTCTCAATAAATACTGAACACGTATTTATTGGCTCAATTTACTAAAATTGTTAGTAGTGACAGTCAGCTTTTGTTTCATAAAAATTTAAGTTTCAGATTTTAATGATACACACTGAAGTCCTACACACAAGCTGCTTAAGCAAATTATACCAATGTATTCGTGTTGTCTAGGGTTATATTAGGTGGCATCTGGTTATCGGAAAGATGCCACTATAACAGTTTCCTTACAACACCATCCTTGGCACAGAGAAAAAGGACACATTAGTCAAAAACTGGTAAAAGCTTAATTCATGTAAAAGCTTCATTGTTATGAAAAGAGAATTCCTGGTCTCACATGTAAGGATTAGACTGTTCCTAACTGTTAGGTTTAACTGAAAGAGGTGCCTGTTTGGTGCGCTTTCATAGGAACCACTTAAATAATCATTTGGGGAATAAGCGGAGTATCGGTGCATGTTTCAAAATATTATTTTGTAAAAGAGCTTTTTGTTCTTTTTCTAAATCTTTACCATATGTAAACTTCACCAATGACTTCAGAAGAAAATACAAGATTTTTAAAAAGCTCAACCAGTAATAAACAGAGCTGCAAATCTAACAGAAAGTGAGTTTTCTTACCAAAAATGAATGGCTGAAGGAATAAAATCCAAAATCAACTTTAGCAAACCTCTTTGCTGACAGTTACAGCAAATAGAAGTAACCATGAGTTTTACTCGAACTTGATTTCATCTCAGGGGCCGAAATACATGCATCAAATCTGATCTCGTTTTTATACTTTTAATCTTTTCAGAGCTCTACTGAAAAATTCCACACTCAACTTTTTGTAAAAATTATCAGAATAAACTAAACACACAGAGTGAAGCATTTCTAAACAATAAAGTACTAATCCTTGTTTGATTTATGTTCAAGTTGTTCACCCAGATTTTGAACCAGGTGGAATGGGCAATGTGTATTTAATGTTTGCATTTGAGAACAGCATCTGCTGTCACAGAGGGCTAGTATGTTTCCACCGGGGCCATTATTTTAAAGCAATAATAATAACGTACAGCACACAGCAAAATAGTCTCCAACTTAAAATTTTCACAAAAAATTGGAGTCTCTAGGGTAAGAATTACGAAGTTCCAAGAGCTTGTAAAGCCTCTAACATTTTCTAATTTATTCTACTAATTTTTAACCAGATGATCTACTTTACAATATTTTTGGATGCTCTATTTTAGAGTATGTGAATTTGTTCATTTGCCCTCAGAAATTTTTTTGCTAGAAATACCTGGAGCTTTTCCAAAATAATCAGGTTACCACTTTCACTTTTTTATAGTTTAAACTTGGGAACTTGTCCCTTTGAGTCTGAGATAATTATGACTGACCTCGATTTGTCACCTCTGCTACTTCTGTGATCGGCATTCTATATATAAACTTATTGTAGACAAACATGTGAACAAAAGAACAGACTTTTGCCTTCACCATATTTACAGTTTTTTAGAACACTGTTGATGGGAGCCACTGGGCTACTTCCCAGTAACAGAGGCTTCCATCAGCCCTGCTCGCTGAGGTTCTTTTTCCTTCTTAGACAGGCACACGATGCAACCATCCTGGCTCCCACTTCCTGCTTCGCACTGTCTACAGGCCAGCATGTCTAGGGGATGCTTGGCTTTTTTTCACCTAATCATTCCCTTTTGTTTATGCTGGCGCTCTATAATTACTTTGAACTTTAGAGCTAAGCAGATAATATTCTGAATCGCTAATTTTCCATGAAGTCATGTGAGAAACACTTAAGCAACCCATTCCAGATCAGGGTGAAATACTGGCTTGATGCCTTTCCAACTGGCACCGTGCTGCCTTGGGATTCTGCATGCCCAGGGTTCTTGGACTGTGTTGCAGCTATTTCTTTTACTTTTCCCTTCCTTATAAAAGAAGTGCATACCTCCACTGGTGCTTCAAATTTGAGAACAAATGTATTTTAGCTGATACCAATCTTGTAGTCAAGCAGCACATAACATTACAAAGGCTTTGAGTAATCTTGAGTAACAGTCTGTTCACAGGGACTACTATCTGCTAGTGAAATCACTTTAAGAAAGCAGTGAGTCACCAGTGTTATAATAAACAGCCACACTAAGGGGCAGTTTAACAAAGCAAGTGCAACATAATATTCCTCAAAGGGAATTAAAGATAAACCCAATCTTAGAATAACTCAGTCACAACTGAAACTAGGCTCACAATGAAACAAAAACTGGGCTCACATTTGATGACCAAAAGTTTCTTTGACTGCTGTTTTGTACACTGTGCTGATAACAAATTAAGTATTGAATAACATGAACAAATAAACAAAGGAATGCATGAGGGCAAAAATAAATACAGTGGCAAAGCAAAGGGAGCACAAGAACCTGGTGAATACGAACAGGCGGCCCATCTGGACTTCACGTCTACCCTCCCTAAATTTAATACCTAGCCATCATTTTTCCTCATCTATACATATTTATACCCAACTTTACAGAGATGTCACTTAATCCTGTCACTGTGAGAGTTTTAGTCTGTGAGGACTCTGTTCCCTGAGAAAGTGTCTATTTATCTGATTACTGGGCCTGCACTTGGTCTAGAGAGGGAGAGATGCTTTGACTCATGGTACGACCCCAAAGGGATGATCAGAGTGACCTGCATACACTTTCATTTCAAAAAAAAAAAGTCTTTAATCATAATATCCTAGCTACCAGGTATAAAGAGGATATACACTACAAAATCAGAAATATAAATAAGTAGAGACCATTAAATATTATTAATGTAATCCTAATTTTAATAGGCAGAATTGAATGAAACTCTTATAACCTGCCTGAAAACCAAATGCTCCCCAGGGTACCTAAGCTCATAATTAAATAACTCTGCAGCTGGTACTATGAATATGCGGCATTACAGAATTATGACCTTGTTCACTCTACTGACAAAGAAAACCCACATAAGCTCTCTCCTTTTCCTTTCAGAGTATTTTCCTTCCCTGCTGCACGACCTGCGTAAGCCAGAAGACAGGAAAATGTAAACATACGCTTGGTTTGCAGAGAGTTAACACTTCATTATTATCTTCTTAAAAAGTTAGATGGGAGAAATGTTCTCCTTAATGACAGCATGATGCTACAAAGCCAGATCTTGTGGGTCTGCTGGCAGTCAACACAGAGAGGAGGACATGTGACGTTTCTCCTAATATGAACATTTTAAAAAGTTAAATAATGTCAAAACACATGAGCTGCACTTAAATATTTTTTACTTAAAAAATGCCAACATGTTTGTGACTTCTCAGGAGAGTCATTCTTGCACTCCTTCGTGAGACAGCCACACCCACAGTGCACAGCGTCACTCAAATCAAGTACGGAGGCCTTGATTTAGGAGAGAGATGGGTAGACACCTAAACAGCAAATCCTCTTTACCTTGGAGGCTTTTTTCATTTTGAAAATGAGGTAAGCTGGGCCATGTCACCATTCTAAATTCAAAAAGCCACTAAAATGTACTGAACCTAGAATGGAATGAAAAGAGGCTGATGCCATCAATGTATTTCAGCTCCAATTAAACGTTCTTCACAAGTAATTACTTCGATTAAATGATATTAAAGTGCACAAATGAAATTTCTGTTTTCACTATAAAGACAGATAAACTAAAATGGGAACTAGAGCTAAGCACAGATTGACAAATATTACTGATGTTTATAAGAATTCAGCTGCACAAGGCACTGTGTTAAGAGCTGGGAGGGGACAAAAGAGAAATAGGACATGATTCTTCTTGGTCCCCTTATGTTCCTTAAATTGAGTCACATTTCTTGTACACAGGGGAACAAAATTAGTTCCACTTCACTCCTGTTGTGCGAGCATAATTACTGATAGGCACCCTCGGACAGCCAAAGTGTTGTTTTGATGAGAGATCAATCATACGGTCATCCTACTTACAAGCAAAATTTGTAGTCAAACTTAACATGATCTTTCTGAAAAAATGCAAATTCCCTTGAATAGCCAAGGCCATTAAAATCTGCAGATATTTTTCTGACAATTTCATAACTCTATGTCCTACTTTATCTGCCTCATTAATTGATAACACAGTATTCTGGCCAGAGATTAGCTCTGAATTCCATTTTTTCTAATTCAATGTTTTCATGTAAAAGTTTTATTTCCTCAATGATATTAACGGTTCCTTGAAAATAGTTTTATACTTCTTTCGTATCCCTCGCAAGTAGAATATAGTGGGCACATAAAGTAGGCTTTCAAAAAATAATTTAAAACTTATACTAACAACAGAGTTTTACACTAAACTAAGGATCACAGTAAGCCATTACGATAATGCCATTATAGAACTTAACACCATCACTGAGGGACATTTTAAAGAGTAAATCTTCATAAAGTCAAGTAAATCCAAATTGAGGGATTATAGTTGAGTGGGGGACTAGGAATAACTCTATCAGACATTATCATAGTATTTTTTTAAGGGGCTACATTTTTTTAAATCCTAAGGAATCCTCTTCTGTGATTGTCATAAAGCTCAGACCGAGATAGTATCAACAAGTTTGCAGGTAACTATAGCCCATTCTCCATTTTCTGGTTAGAATCCCTGTCTTCTCTCTCGATCTCAACTGGAGAGCCAGATTCATGAGGCCTTGACCCCTGCTCTCCTACTCCTGACAAATAGCAAAGCCGATCATGTAGGAGGTTTTTTCAGAGGAGAAAACGACTTTGTCTTCCCAAGAGACAAACCTTCCACTTTGCTTTATGAGGCAGATAGCAGCCCCAAACCACAGACAGGTCGGGGCCTGCGCAGGCCTCAATTATTACGGTATTTTACGGTTTACAAAGCACTTTCCCACACATTGAAATCTAGGATGTCTTAGCCCTTCCAAAAACTGAACTGGCCTTTGTATCAATCACTTGACCCTCCTAAGCATTAATTTACTTCTTATATGCTAATAACACTGGTTCTTTCTCCTTTGTAATAATGAGGTATAATGAGAAAATATATAAGAAATTTCCTGAAAAGTATACAAGTATGTTAAAAAATTTATTCAGTGTTTATAGAGGACAAACTATACATACATGCCAGGAATTATGCCAGTGATATTAAAAATATGAACTGGTACAATCTCAAGCAGCTTATAATTTAGAGAGAGAGAGATTTTCAAAGAAGAATTAGAGTACAAAGTAAAATTAACTGGAACTGAGGTAATCTATGAGGTACAAGACAAGATGGATGAAGACGGGCACCAGGCAGGCTGGGAGATGAAGGGATTAAACAGCCTCCCTTCCTAGCTGAAGGAAGCAGGTAATCTAGGAGGTATCAGGCTTTAGGATGCGGAGTAGGCTTCACCCAGGGATCAGTGCTGGAACTGAGACACTAGATGAAATGCAAATGGAAGGGCTGGGATCAGAGGGGGCAAGAAAACTGGCAACACAAGGACACTGAGTGGAAAGTATCCAGGGTATGTGACGGTTGCGTCAGAATGACAGCACTGAGGCTAGCAAGTGGGACAGGAGTCAAAGGGTCTCCCGGACTGTCAAATTTTACTCTGTAGGGAACGAGGAGCTACTTAACTTTTTGAGAAGGAAAAAGGCATGATCATGAGAAAGACTGCTTCAATAGCTACCAGTCTCATCTCTTCCAGTCCATCTTTTTCAGATGAATCAAAGATTATGAATTCTGAACTAGGGCTGTACCACCCAGATCACAGGGAGAGACACATGTGAGATGCATCCAGGAGGCAGAAATCACGACCTAACTGGATGCTGGAGGTGCTGAATATAGAAAGATGTTAAAGCTCTTCTTTTCCACAGGGGTAGGTGGGTGTTACGGTGATGGGAGTTGAGCTGAGTTTTAAGTGGAGAGACAGATGTAAGAAAGCATAGGCTCTGCAGCCAAACTGCCTGGTTTCTAGACCTGGTTCCACAACTTACTCGGGGGATCTCAAGGAAGACATCTGACCCCCATCTATGCCTTGGTTATCTCATCTGTAAAATGGGGTTGTGATAAGAATAATGCCTACCTCAGAGCTGTTATTAGTATTAAATGAATTAACATCTATACAGCATAAAGACCAGTGTCAAGAACACAGTGAGTGCCATATAAATGTCTGTAAATAAATTTGAGATGGGATACAGTTTAAAATAAAGACTCTGACTGGATAGATAGGAGGAAATATTAAAGACAGGAGAAAAAGAGAAAATAAAATTGGGGAAAAGATCCAGAAAGAAGGCAGAAGGCTGGGTGTGGTGGCTCATGCCTGTAATCCTTAGCATTCTGGGGGGCGGGGGTGCGGAGGGTGGATTGCCTGAGCTCAGGAGTTCGAGACCAACCTGAGCAAGAGCGAGACCCTGCCTCTAAAAAATAGCCAGGTGTTAGGGCAGGCACCTGTAGTCCCAGCTACTTGGGAGGCTGCGACAAGAGAATCACTTGAGGCCAAGAGTTTGAGGTTGCTGTGAGCTATGATGTCACAGCACTCCAGGGTGACAAACTGACACTCTGTCACAAACAAACAAATGATCCAGAAAGAGGTTAGGAGGTGAAGAGGGGGATTGAGGTAAAAGGCCAGAGGAAAAAGCAAGGCGATCCTTTCTGAGACAGAACAAGGAGATAAGATGGATGAAGATGGGCACGCAGGCAGGCTGGCAGATGACGGGATTAAACAGCCTCCCTTACCAGCTGAAGGGAGGAAGAAGAAAGGCTCTGTGACAATGACTGAAGACAAAGGAGCAGGGAGAATGAAAGTGGCAAAGGTCTGAATTATCCCCAGGAGAAAGGAAAGCTGATTAGTACGAGAGCCCAACTTCAATTGTAGCGTAAGAATTTTTAGTGGCAGCAATCTGTAGTGTTGTGATTTCCGCGACAGAGCTCAGTGTAGCTGAAGGAATGAAGACATTTATTTGGACTGGCCAAGAACTGGGGACTTGCAGGGAAGGGATGGTGATTGTACAATAGAGCGAAGGAGCTACAGATGCTAAAAAGAGGCTGTAGCTGAAATTACGCAAAAGCAGGTCTAGATTGGGTAGGGAAGTAAGTATACAGATTTGAAAGAAGAGGAGTCAGTTATGTTAGATAGGGATGAAGGGCTAAAAGATTAAAAGAGTTAAAACAAGAGGTTGCACAAAAATGCAATACTGGAATTAAGACCTGGAGGTGGCGTGGTATGCATGGGGTCCAGGGCATGATAATGAAATCAAAAAGGTGGCTAGGAAGTTGCTGTCAAAGAAAAGCAGAAGCCAAGGTGGAAAATCAAGCAGACCAAAGAGCAGGAAGCGACTCCACTAAATGGGTCGGTGAAAGCAGTTCTGCAGAAGGTACCTTGTATAAAAGAAGAATTCTTTTCCTTCTCATTTGATAAGCTTGAAAATGCAAATTTGATTAAATTCAAGACAATTAAAAAAAATACCATCCTGTACATTACAGAAAAAAAGTCATTGCCTATTCAACTACTCACTATAAAGCGATGAAGTCCATAGTACAATAGGATATCTGCTAAGGTGAAGTTATATCCTGTAAGGTAGACTTTATCTTCAAGATAGGAATTAAGGTCCTAGAAAAATAAATAAATAAAATGTTATTTTAAAAAACAGTAACAATAAAGCTAGCTACTATAGTATATGACTTAAAACATTTAGAAAGCTACTAGAAAACAAAATACTGAAATTTACTATTGGACATTAATAAAGATATATTCAAAATGACAAACCACATGCCAATTACCTCATTTAAAAAAAGTAGGATGAATAATATTAGATTTAATTAATTAATTTCTGAGACAAGAGTCTCACTCTGTCACCTTGCATAGAGTGGTGTGGCGTCATAGCTCACAGCAACCTTAAACTCTTAGGCTTCAGCAATCCTTCTGCCTCACCCTCCTGAGTAACTAGGATTATAGGCGCCTACCACTACACCCAGCTAGTTTTTTTCTATTTTTGGTAGAGACGGGGTCTTCCATTTTGCTCAGGCTGGTCTTGAACTCCTGAGCTCAAGCAATCCACCGCCTTAGCCTCCCAGATGCTAGGATTATAGGTATGAGCCACTGTGCCTGGCCATTAGTCTTATTTTAGAGAAATCACAAGCTATTAGAAAATGATATTCAAAGTGCTATCTATGATCATTTCAGAGTCTAGGTTTTATTCTGGGAAACATTTGCCTATTCAACTACTCACTACAAAGCAATGATAAAATCACTTTATTTTTTCCACTAAAATATTAAAAACTCCTTAACAATCTCTTTCTCTTCAGAGAATTCTAAGAAATTCCATACCCATGAAACAACATTTCCTCATTTTCCTTTTCCTCCAGGTCCTGGCAACCACTACTCTCCTTTATTTCTGTGAACTGGACTGTTCTCATGTATGTATGTGAAATCGTAGAGTACTCGTGCTTTTATGACTGGCTTGTTTCCCTGAGCATAAGGCCCATCCACGCTGTGGCATGCATCAGGATTTCCTTCCTTTGTAAGGCTGAATGATACTCCATGGTATACAGGGACCACATATATTGGGTTGTTTCCATCTCTTGCCTATTGTGAATAATTTGGCTATAAACATGCGTGTACAAATACCTCTTCAAAACTATGCTTTGAATTCTTTTGGGCATGTACCCAGAAGTTAAACTGCTGAACCATATGGTAATTCTATTACTTTCTTGAGGAACTGCCATTTTGTTTTCTATAGCAGTTGTACACTTTACATTCCCTCCAACAATAGCCAAGGGTTATTACTAATTTCTCTGTATCTTTGTCAACAGTTGTTACCTTCAGGCTTTTGGGGGGGGGTGTAGCCACCCTCATGGGTGTGAACATATCAACTGTTGAGTATGACTTGTATTTCTCTATTGATTAGTGACTCTAGCATCTTTCATATGCTTGTTGGCCATTTGTGTATCTCCTTTGGAGAAATGTCTATTCAAGTCCTTCACCCATGTTTAAAATCAGGTTATTAGTTTTGTTTTTGAGTTGTAGGAGTTCCTTATACATCCTGAATATTAACCCTTTATCAGAATATGATTTGCAAATATTTTCTCCCATTCAGTAGAGAGCCTTTTTCTTTGATGTACAGTCAATTTTAATTTTAATGTAGTTTAATTTATCTATTTTTACTTTTGTTGGACATATTAACAGACCTGCATGAATACATCAATTTCCTAAGAAAAAGTTTTGATCTCTTAAAACTGACACATAATTTAGCAGAACAGGAATTTATATTAAATTATATTCAGTTATATGAGGAAATATAATGTTTAGAGGACATAACGTTTAGAGGATCCTGTGAAGACTAGATATAAACCACTGCTCGACGGACAACAGTATTTATTCTGGAAGAATACCTTCAACTACAGCAACGGCACTTTGTTCTAATTCTCACATCATACCTATCTTAGTCTATTTGGGCTTTTGTATCAGAATATATAGACAGGGTGGCTTATAAACAACAGGAGTTTGTTTCTCCCAGTTCCGGAAGCTGGAAGTCCAAAATCAAGGCTCTGTCAGATTCAGTGTGTGGTAAGGACTTGCTCCCCAGTTCACGGTCAGCTGTCTTTTCACTTAATGGAGGGGTGAGGTCTCAAAAAAGAGCATCAATTTCATTCATGAAGGCTTGACCTCTGGGACCTAATCACCTCCCCACTATCACCATGTGAGTTTTAACAGACTCCTAGAGGTGTCCATTTTGGATGACAAAACAAAGGAAATGTGGACATAAATGAGATGTGGAAGAATCAAAATAAAATTTGGGTTGGAGGGTAGACTATATGGGTATATTATAGGATACCACTAAAATTTTATGGTAATCTATTGAACGGAGATGGTTTCTCTCCTAGTATCTTCAAAGGAAATCAACTTTGACAAAGTATAAAAAATAAACAGATGTTCATGCAATTTTAAAAAACATTTAAAGAAAGAGCTGGAACAATTTAACATTGTTTTATATAGTATACTTTTTCTAAAAACAGAATCTATATCCATGTTTTAGTTATAAAGACTCTTAAAAATATAGTTATAATACATTATGGTTAGCTAATATTTTCCTGATTAGTTATGGAAATACAATTTTTCCTACCAAAAGACAGATTTCACATATTCAACTATTCACAGCAGGGGACCAAGTAATGTATGTTGTTCACATTCCCTTTTTTATTGTCTTTAACAAGTCTTTCTGATGCTATTACCAGACTTGTTAAAATATTTTCTTTTTAGTTCCACCTGGTTTTTCTTTTTTCCCCCCAACTATTATTAAACTTCCTAATAATACAGAAAAGTTGAAAAGGCAATAAGCAACTACCCTCCATCTAAATTCACCAAATGTGTTTTGCAATGCCTGCTTTTTCAAACTATATGCCATCTTATTTAGAATTTAGGTTTTAGCACTGAAATGTAACTTTGACAAGTAAGAATTAAACCCTTTCAGAATACCCTAACAGCTTAAGTTTAAAAAAAATAGATAATAAAAAGATACACAGCTCTGTAAAAACATAGGCAAAGAATACATGTAAGTAAATATTTTTAAATAGTAAATATGGACCAGGAGATGGTTCACACTTGTAATCCCAGCACTATGGCAGGCCAGAAGTTTGAGATCAGCCTGGGCAACACAATGAGTCCTCATCTCTACAATTTTTTTCTTTTTTAAAGTCCACCAGGTGTGGTGCCATGTGGCTATAGTCCCAACTACTCAGGAGGCTGAGATAGGAGAATTGCTTGGACCCAGGAGTTCTGAGTATATTACTGCACTCCAGCCTGAGTGAGAGAGAGAGACCCTGTCTCAAAAAATGATAATACTAAAAATGGCTAACAAGCACTAAGAAAAACGCCACACCACTGGTTTGCTTATTTTGGTAATGAAATTGGGTGGTGAAAGAGAAAAAAGGTAATCCCCATGTTGGTTTGTGGAAGAGGCCATTTTCACTACATGATAAGAGGGTAGTTTTCTAGAGGACAAACAAGCTATGTAGCCTTAAAACCATACAGCTTTTAGCCTCACAATTTCCCATGTAGAAATTTAGCCTAAGGAAACAAACAGAAATGTGTTCAGATATTTAGAAACAATCTAGTAACCACCAAGGGATAGACAATTTGAACTGTGGTATAATTACAGCCGACCCTTGAACAGCTCAGGTTTGAACGGTGTAGCGTCACTTATACGCATATTTTCTTCTCCGTCTGCCGTCCCTGAGACAGCAAGACCAACCCCTCTTCTTCCTCCTCCTCAGCTTACTGCACATGAAGACTACGATAAACATCTTTATGATGATCTACTTCCATTTAATAAACTGTAAATTTAGTTCCTCTTCCTTACGATTTTCTTTTTCTTTTTTTTTGTAGAGACAGAGTTTCACTTTGTCACCCTCAGCAGAGTGCCGTGGCGTCACACAGCTCACAGCAACCTCCAAGTCTTGGGCTTAGGCGATTCTCCTGCCTCAACCTCCCAAGTAGCTGGGACTACAGGTGCCCACCACAATGCCCGGCTAATTTTTTTTGTTGCAGTTTGGCTGGGGCAGGGTTTGACCCACCACCCTCAGTATATGGGGCAGGTGTCCTACCCACTGAGTCATAGGCACCGCCCCTTACAATTTTCTTAACAGCATCCTTTTTTTTCTAGCTTACTTTATTTGTAAGAATACAGTATATAACACATAATACATATAATGTGCTGATGGACTGTTTAGTATCGGTAAGGCTTGCAATCAACAGCAGGCTACTAGTAATTAAGTTTGGGGGGAGTCAAAGTTATATGCAGATTTTCAACTACTCAAGGGTTAGCATCCCTAACCCCAAGCATTGTTCAAGGGTCAACTGTATTAGAGAGAACACCAACAGCCTAATAAAAGGAGAGTGTAGGTAAATGTCTACTGGCATAAAAAGATACTTACAACACATTGTCAGTGAACAAAAAGCAGTTCACTGTGTCTAGTAGATTCCATTTTTAAAATACAAACACATATATGCAAAAAGAAAAAAGCATGGAAAGAACACAAAAGGGACTTAGTAAATATTTGATGACTTAACACAAGCATCCTTAACTGTTCTCTCTTATTGGTAGGACCACTGATTTTTAAAGATATTCCATTTGCTTATTTGTATTTCCTAAATTTCTATAATATTTACTTGCTTTAAAATAAAAACAATGCTGCCTTAAAAAGGTAAAATTACAAAAACAAAACTGACATCACCCTATTCTCTATGTGCTCTATGGCCAAAAATCCCATTGCAGTCCATTCTATGTACGTGTGTCTCCCCCACTAGTCAGAGGTCTGTAAGGGCAGAAACTGTCTAATGCATCACTAGACCTTGGAACTATACCCTGGTGTGTTGCAGGTGCAAATGAAAGAACTGCTATAGAGCAAGGAAGAAAACACCCAGCTGCACATAGCTACAGTTCAAAAACAGTAACACTCTAAGTCAGGGGCTCGCAATTAAATATTTAATATTTCAGACATAATGCTTAACGAGTTATTTCTGTGCTTCCAAAACCAAATCTATTAATATAACCTCTTAAACTATAAACCCAATTCAATGAAATCCTGTTCCTATCTTTCAGAATTAAGTACTTTATTACTATCCTTTCCTTTGGAAAATCATAAACAATGGGTTATATCACTTTTTATTTGCCTGGAATCTCAAATTCGCTTAGAGGCGGATATGCCTGCTTCCCTCTGGAAATGCAGTGGTGCATGGTAGAGCACAAGAGGGGGGTCCCTGTGAGTGATCAGTGTAGACATTAAGACCAACAGTTGGACAAGACAGACCTACAAGGATCAAGGCCTGAAGCTGACTTTCTACCCCTTGATGACATTTCTCAAGAATTTAGTTTAACTATTTTCCCCAAAGTGATATAGCAAAAACTTCCTTACACAACTTTATAATGCCATTGTATAAAAATGGAAATAAAATTAAGAAAAGGAAGAGATTCCTACAATGACAGGTGGTTGTCTGAATGATCTTTTGCTTCAAATTTAAAGCTTTCGTAAAATTTTTCAAAATCTGCTTCATTTTTATGTAAATAATCGAAGATAATTTGATTTGGAATGCTTTCATTCATGGTGACTCTGCAGCCAAATGCAGTTTATATCAATAGATTCTTTTATTTTAATCTGACACCTTTGGAAAGAAAATATAAATCTTAAAGCCATGGTTCTAAGGAAGGGAAAGTTGGGCTTTCTCAGATCGGTTGGAAAATTTTTTAAAACGATAGTCCTTAAAGATTCTGAGGACTGCCCTCCTGCCTCTGAGAAAATACTTTATTCCTTTAGAGAATTAGGACTGCTGAGCAGGGTATTACATTAAAAAGTCTCATATAAAACTATAATTATCAAGTGTTATCAAAGAAAAGCACAGGGTGCTGTGACTGCACACGGAACAAAGTGCCCCAGCTAGCCGAGACGGAGCAATCAAAGAAGCTTCTGAGGCAGGAATGTCTTATCTGAGAGTGGGAATGGTAGAGATGGTATAGTCTGTTCCAGGAAGTAATAACAGGTACAAACTACAAGGCAGAAGGCCAGCAGCATGTGACTCTCAGGGGACAGAGATTTCTGCTTAGTGCATTTCAGCATTTTGGCCTACATAGAAAGAGAAGTCACAGTACCTTCAACAGAGTGCGGATATCATCTTTACTGGCGTGTCCGTCTACGCGGGTGACCCTGTATTCTAACCACTGCTGAACGATGGCTTTTTCTTCTGCAGTGCTCCCCAGCAAGTGTTCTTTGTTGGCCTGCTTGACTAGATGAGCTGCTATTGTCGTCAAGCCTGTTAGACTTGGACCATTGTTTGTTTGAAGAACTGGAATCTTAAAAAAAGAAAAAAGAAGTTCCTCGGATAAATTTAAAAAACAAAGACCATCGTAGCTAATTTCTAAGTAACTTAAATTCCTCATCTATTTTTTCAAATACTCCAGGGTTTCACACTAAGATACTAAATCACACACACGAAAGTCAGGAAGAGAGCAGTTATGTAACTTACAATTTGATAACAGATGCTTGATGATGAAACTGGTAATAACACTGCAAAAATAAGTGTAACTTTACTATAATAATTAATAATTGTGTAGGTACATTATGAGAAAATGGAAACTAATAATCTATGATAATTTCAATCAAGAATACTTATATTTCATTTTAGCAAAGTGAACACACTTGAATAAATGTGACTTATTTTTATGCTTCCCCTATGACTACAAAGGGTCAGATTTACTTGCTTATAAGAAATTGCTCAGCATGATTTCTTGATGAAAACTAAGCAGAAAGCATGAGAAATTTAAAATAAAACCTAAAGTACTGTCCAATGGGAAGTACACAAATAAAGTAAGTACACAATCTAAATGACCCAAGCAAACAACCAAAAATTATTATTTTCTTCAGAGGACTGCTGTTCTTTTCAGCCAGGACATAGTATTCTTGTACCCTTACAGTGATCTACACTCTGCAGGGCACTTTCGTACTCACATCTGTAGCAACAGGATTTAGTAAGTACATAAAACTATAATTACTGAGTGCGACAAGTGGTATGAAGGAAAAGCAGCGGCCACATTAAAAAAGCCAAACAAAACTACAATTACTGACTATGGCAAGTGTAATGAAGGAAAAGCACAGGGTGCTGTGACCGCACAGGGAACAAAGAGCCCCACCTCGCTGAGACGGAGTACTCAACGAAGTTCCTGAGGCAGGGATATCTGAGTAAAGTACCACTGGCTTGACGTCCATTTTCCTTCCTCTATATAAGCTAAAGTCTATACATCCCTATATCTATATCTAACTATCTATCTCTATATAGAAAGATACGGAGATGAACATTCTATAGACACAGATTCGTTACTTCGTACATTTTAAAAGGAAAAGGAGGTAACAAAAGGCACTTACCACTTCTCATTCACTATTTAGCTCCCTCAATTTTCACTTTTGCCTTTACACTCGGATGAAACCATCAACCTCTAAGATCATCAGTAACTTCTTTTTAAAAAAATGTATCAAAAGAAAATAATATGAAACCCTCTGGGAGTGCTGATAAATGTTCTATTTCTTGACTAGATGGTTACCTGAGTGTGTTTACTTTGTGGTAACATCATGATTTGTGTACTTTTCTGAATGGCTGTTATACTTTGAGAAAAAAATAAAATAAAATGACTGACAATTGCTGAGAGAGTATGAGTGACGATTAACTCTAAAAAGAATTATTTGTAAAAATAAATTACCCCAAACCCTTCCATACTAACTAAAAATATTCCCGGTTACCTTCTCATCTAATCATTACATCTTCTAAGAAATGGTGAGTAATTTCATCCTCATTTTACAGATAAAGAAACAAGGTCACTTGGTTATTAATAGCAGAGTTAAGGTTTGAATAAAGTACCATTGACTTGTCCATTCTCCTTTCTCTACATACCACCTAAAGTATCTTATGCAGCTACAATCATAGGACACACTATTCACATTCATCTTAAAGGTTCCACGATCTACAAAGTAATCACCTTTTTTTTTTTTTTTTTTTTACAGTTTTTTTTGGCAGGGGCTGGGTTTGAATCCACCACCTCCGGTATATGGGGCTGGTGCCCTACTCCTTTGAGCCACAGGCCCCGCCCCAAAGTAATCACTTTTAACACCTTACCTTTTCTATGTTTAGATATATTTAGCTAAATAAATACCATTGTATTACAACTGCCTAAAGAATTCAGTAGAGCAACATGCTTTACAAGTTTGTAGACCAGAGAAGGATTGTATCAAATAGCCTTAAGGCTGTAAGTATGCTATAATGTTTATAAGAGGACAATACTGCACAACCATGCATTTCTCAGAACCTGTTAAGTGACACATGATTGTGTTTCAATGTGACAATGTACCATAATTTAATGGACCATTCTCCTAGAGATGGATGTCTTGGCTACTTCGACTTTTTAATTATTAACAGTAATGCTGTACATAATGCCTTATTGCTGACTCACTGCTATGAGCTGTGCTCCCCCACAAATAGCTGATCTTATCACATAACTCCATCCCTTTCCCCATACACATAAACAGCTGCCTACTACTAAAATGTTTTCATAAAAATAAATCTAAAGCCACACCCTGAACTCCGAAACCCTCACAGTTGGGCCTCAAGCTATAATTCTGGGTTGACCTCGCATTGCATCACCAAACATATTCGTTTAGTCATTGCCCCAAACTTTCTAATCTTTCATAATTTATTGGTTTTACACATCTTTGAAAGCCTAGTTCCTTAAATACTAGCTTTGCCACGAAGCTTCTAAGTCCATTTTTTTTTTTGAGTCTCACTTTGTTGCCCTCAGTAGAGTGCCATGACATCATAGCTCACAGCAACCTCAGGCTCTAGGGCTCAAGTGATTTTCTTGCCTCAGCCTCCCAAGTAGCTGAGACTATGGCCACCGGCCACAATGCCAGCTGTTTTTGGAGGTGGGGTCAATAACCTGTGAGCTCAGGCAATCCACCAGCCTTGGCTTCCCAGAATGCTAGGATTACAGGTATGAGCCACCACACCCCGGCCTCTTGTAAGTTCATTTTTATAGTCAGAATTAACTTCCTCTTCTACACTCCTCAACAATATTTTCTTTTCAGTACATAAAGTAGAACCTCTGTAAGTTGACTACTGAGGGGCTACCAAAAACTGGTCAAAATAGGAAGGCGGTCACCATAAAGAACTAGGCCCACTGGACTGCTATGTACATCTGGTACGTGTCTAGATCAACCTACAGAGGTGGTCCGCTGTATTCTGTTGGGCTTTAATTGCTAATGGCTGTTTCTTACACTAGACAATATATCTTGGCAATGTTCCCTAAAAAATAGAAAAAAAAACTGGGGACTACCAGCTGAACGGATGGACAACAGAAAAAAATTAAAGATAAAAACCAAACGTCATCTGGAAAAAAACCTCAAAGGGGCAAAAAAGTATATTATATCCAAAGTAGTCTTCCCACGACTATTTTCTTCCTCTACTACACAGTCTCCACAGCAAAACCATCCTTATAAATACACAAATGTTCTTCAAAGCCCTGGGAAATCTGAGTCCTTATCCCTCACGAGTCAATCTCACGGCAGAACTTTCCCTCAGTCTCCGAGCGTCGCACACAAGAACTCGAGATCTCAGGGCCTCAGAACAACCTTCCCTGAGTCCCACAAATTGGGCCAAGACCCCTTTTATGTGTTTTCTCAACCATCTACGCTCAGACGTGGCAATTTTCTCTACTATAATTTAAATATCTGCAACATTTGTTCCACTCGGCCAAGAAGCAAGCTCCCGGAGGAAAGCCAGGGTGCTTGCCTTCATCACCTAGGCCCAGCACACTGCTCCCTGGCATCCCTTTGCTTTCACGAGGTCACTGCGTAATAAGTTGATGAAAGATGCAATTAGTGTAAACACAGTCACTGAACGTAAATGCGGGGCCTCCAGTGTAGTTTATTCAAGAGCTCTTTGAGGGTCCTCCCGCAACTGGTTTTCCCATAATGGGATGACGACAATTTCCCAGGAGGTAAAGTTCAGGCGTAGTCTTTCCTGAGCCGGTGACCCTTCCTACCCTCAACGACAAGGGCGGCAGAGGCCGAAACCTGGAGTCACCCGGCGGCTCCGCGGCGCAGACACGTGGAAAGCTGGAAAGCCGCACCTCACTCCGCCCGCCTCGCCGACCTCCAGGCCCAGTCCCGCCCACGCTCAGCTAGCCCCGCTCCCATCTGCCTCTTCCCCTCCGCGACCCCAGCTTCTCACCTGTCGCTCGCCCTGAGCACTATATTTATTCCCTTTATTCAGCCCCAGGGATTTTTCCAGCAGCGTTAACTCCGCGGCCGCCGCCATCTTCCGGCCGTAGCTCCTGGCAGGGGCAGAACCGGGATAGCAAGGACCTCCTGCATTGGCGGGGAGCGAAACCCCACCCCCGCAAGCGTCTCCGGCGATTGGCTGAACGTAGAGGGGCGTGGAAGGCGCTCCAGCGCGCAGGAGGAGTGGCCGAAGGAGGAGGCGTGGCTGAAGGCAGGGTGTGGGCAGGTCCAGAGGTGACTTCAAATTTCCACTCTTGAACACTTGGGTACGTAATAGAGCGAGCTGAGCCGCCGGCCCAGGCTTTGGTGGCTGCTGTAGACAGGCTCTCTAAACCCCAAGCTTTTGAGCTGGCAGCCAGTTAACCCACTTACTCGCTTGGCCGGCTAAGAGAATTTATAAATATGTGGAACTGAAATTTACCATAGTTTGGCTAATGAATTTGTGAATTTGAATAATCAAATTGAATAGCAAAGAGTTCACAATCCATGATTATTTTCTAACATGTAGCGTAATTCATGAGGATTTTAATTGTTTTGTAATGGTGAATTGGAAAACTAGTTTTTCCACTGTGAATCTATAGCTCAATACTAGCAGTAGAGTTAAATTTAATTTAAAGATTATTCATATGACAGTGGGTATGTTAGATAGTAGTCAAATAATGATAGCTCAAATCAGCCAGTAATGGTATTAACGATCTTTATTTGCAATACTAGATAATGATATACTTTATGTAGTTTTTGGTATGTACTTGTAAATAAATAATGCACATAACTTCCCTTCTCCATCAAGTTGCTATGTTCTCGTATTTTAAAAATAGGCTATTAGCAGTATATGTTGAGGCCTTGAATATTGACAAAAGATTTCTGAAAAAATATTTTTGACATTGAAGAAAAAATAAACGAAATGTGTATTTGAGAGAAATAGGAAAGAAATGCTCCAAAGTAATTCATCACCGAAGCAGAAATATAGAAATTTAGTGGGGAATGTTGTTACTGTGTTACACCTTTCCTACCCCAGAATATTTAATGAGCTAATTATGGCAATAGAAGTAAACATAAAGCAAAGAAAATGTTGGCAAATCAACATAACAAAGTAAAAAGGAAATTCTAACATAAGTAGATGGTGATTCATTAGTTATCTATTTTACTTTCAATACACAGGTAAATGAACGACTATTTTACTACTTCTAAAAAGGGCAGTCCTCTGAGAAAATTTATATTCTCTATTTTCAGTTTGGGGGTATGCTTTTTGCTTGTAATAAAACATTTTTTTATGGCTCAGCGCCCATAGCACAGTAGTTACAGTGGCCAGCCACATACCGAGGCTGGCGGGTTCTAAACTGACCTGGGCCTGCTAACCAACAATGACAACTGCAACAACAACAACAAAATAGCTGGGCATTGTGGTGGGAGCCTGTAGTCCCAGCTACTTGGGAGGCTAAGAGAATTGCTTAAGCCCAAGAGTTTGAGGTTGCTGTGAGCTGTGACTCATGGCACTCTATCTAGGGCAACATAATGAGACCCTGTCTCAAAAATAAAATAAAATAATAAAAAAAAGTTTTTTAAACTCATAGTCACCTAATTCCAGTGAATTAGGTTTGACCTAAGGTTTGACCTAAAGGTAGAAGAGATTTGAATTCCAGTATAAAATATCTGAAAGGATATTCACCAAATGATAAAAGTGATGACTTTTAAGGAGTATTATTAGATGAATGGGTGGGAAAATCACTATTTTATTTATTAATTTTTTATTTGAATTGTTGCTGATAGATCTTGTAGTTAAAAATAGAGTTTATTTTAATGAAGTTATAAGCTTCTCTCAAAACTCTTTGAGTCCTGAAGGTTTTTGCCCTGAATTTCCATTTCTTCCTTGATAATTTCCATTTCTTCCTTGATAATTCTCCTTTTTGTTGTAGATGTGCAGATGTAGAGAAAATTGGTTGAACACTGCACTACCACTTCCGAGATGAAAAGGAAGGGTGATGGTGCTACATGAAATGAGACAAAGTTACACTTGATTTCAGCAGCCAAAGTTCTAATCTCTATTTAGCTCTAACTAGTGCATCCCTCCAGACAGACAGTTAACTTCACTGGGTCTCAGTTTTTTCAAGTTTGAACAATGAGCTTGGATTAGATATTCTCTGTGGTTCCTGTTGACTTTGACGTTCTATCTTTTGCTATTTTGATAATTTTGCCTTGCAGTAAACATAAATTTTTGTACTACTAATGTAATTCTGTATCATTGACCAAAAGGGTCTTTTGATGTGGTCAACCACATTGTATAAATGTAATGTTTTGAACAGAATTTTAGGTTTGGCCTTAGAAAGAAGGGCCCAGATATTCCTGTCCTACTCAGGGCTGGCTTCATGGATATGTGACCTCCCCACCCACCCAAGGCCTACACTTAGAAGAGCCCTGTGCTTGGTTTAAGGCTCTTCTGTCACCATCTTGAAATACTCTTTTTGTTTTTGTTTTTCTTTCTAAAAAAAGGATTTTACTCTGTTGTCCCAAATGGAGTGCAGTGGCATGATCATAGCTCACTGTAACCTCCAACTCTTGGGCTTAAATAATGCTCCTTCCTCAGGCCTCTGAACAGCTGGGACTACAGTACATGCCACTATTCCCTGCTGATTTAAAAAAAACTTTTTTTTTTTTTTTTT